TGCTTGAGTTGGGTTGGACTAGAAGACCTCCAAGGTCCCTTCCAACTCTTCTTCTTCTGGTTCCATTTCTTGGTCTGAGAAGAGACAGGTCTGCTTCTTCTGCTTCATGTCCTCTTCCCCACCTCCAAGAAGATGGTCAAAAAATTCCAGATGGTGGCCATGATGGTTTTAAGATGGAGCATCTCAACCACCAGCTTGATTTTTTGGAGCATCACCAGCAGGCCCTTCTATCTTTCACCCCCTAGAAGACTACTGTCCTTGGCTGGGGGTCCAAGAACGAATGGGCTGGGGGGGTCTCAAAGTCGGAGATCCAGAATTTTGCACCCGTACCTCTGCTGTTCTCTGCCTTGAGTGGTTGAGAAAGTAAGATGTGTCCTCCAGATCAAGAAGCTTCCTTCCAGAAGGTCCCACCCACAAAAGCACCTACCCAGATTTCTCCACCGCAGTAGAGAAGTAATTGGGCAGCTTTCCTGGGTCAGAGACCTTGTTTTGAACTTCCCAGATTAAGCAACAGCTCCGTGGACTTTCCCTTTTAAAGAAAGGGATGGAGTTAGTAAGAAACTCGGGGCTTTTCTCGAGAAACATTTAAACCCAGCAATGGGGACAGAGAGTGAAGTGATACAGAATATTTCCGTCCCCGGGCAATCTAAAATGAAAATAAATAAACAAAACCCTCACCCTTTAGCATAGATATCAAGCTTTTGATAGTGTGTGCCATTAGTGTGGGCACTAATCAAACAGATGGTAAGGAACCACCTGCCTCCAGAAACGGTGAAGGCTCCAACACTGGAAGTTTTAAAGAAGAGACTGGACAGGCATTTGTCCGAAAGGGTCTAGGGTTTCCTGCCTGAGCAGGGGGTTGGACTCGATGACCTCCAAGGTCCCTTCCAACTTTATCATTATTATTATTATTATTATTATTATTATTATTATTATTATTATTATTATTATTATTATTATTATTATTATTATTATTATTAAAATGGTAAGGAAACTAATCAAGGAGAGAAGCAACCTGGAACTAAGGAGAAACTTCCTGACAGTGAGAACAATTAACCAGTGG